GATTCTTTGTTGTAGGGGACTATCTTGTAAATTACAGGTTTAGCAGTGTCCCTGGACTCTATGTACTAGATGTCAGTAGCACCACTCCCGCCCCTACCCACAGTGCAACAACTAAAAATGTCTCTGCACATTACCAAATGACTCCTGGAGATGCAAAAGTAACCCCAGTTGAGAATACTGGGTATGTCCATATCAACCCAAAGCTCCAAGACAGCCACACAATGAGAATAAAAACAGAAATAAAATCTACCATTTCTATAGAAATCTACAAAATGATTAAATATCCACAAATTCCACACTATAGAAAATGGATCTTCCAACCAAAAAGTACCACAGATTGGAGAGTACCTCTATTTCTGAGTAATACTTCCTTTTGATCCATTATTCATCCACAATGGAAAAGCATTAGATTTAATAATTTAGTAAATAAAAAATATGTATCTAATAATTTTATTTTTTAAGTTTATGCATTCATTTTGAGAGAGTGCCACACGTGCGTGAGGGGGAGGGGCAGAGAGAGAATCCCAAGCAGGCTCTGCACAGCATGGAGCCTGATGTGGGGCTCAAATCCACAAACAGTGATATCATGACCTGAGCCAAAATCAAGTCAGACGCTTAACCAACTGAGCCACCAAGGCACCCCATATACTTAAAAAATTTAAATCCAGAGGATTAAACCAGGAAAGAAATTTAACCTCTGAAATACAAAATTTTATGAGCTGAAAACACGTTTGTTATTAAGTGATGATTCTAGTAATATATTAATTTAGAGCACCACTCCTAGTTCTGTGAACTAGGTCTGTGAAATTGAGCAGTGGTGGCTGTGCAAATGGGAGCTGGAAATTAGAATAAATAACAGTGGCTTTTGAACCTATGTCCCCTCAAATAATCTTGCCAGGTAGGATTTCTGTGCAGAGGCAGATTTTCCATGAGGCCAATAAGCTCAGGCTTCTGGGTAACTCATTTGGATAGCCCATTTTGCATTTATAAATTTCATGTCTTTTCTTAAGGACGCCCTCAAAATTATTTGTTTCAAACCCCAAAAATGTGGATCCCCCTCTGTTTGTGAATACTTAAAAAGATGAGCGGTGTCTGGGTGGCTCAGTCAGTTGAGCATCTGACTTTAGCTCAGGTCATGATCTCGTGCTTCACAGGTCCCAGCCCTGCATCCGGCTCTCTACTGACAGCTCAAGGCCTGGAGCCTGCTTTGGATTCTGTGTCTCCAATCTCTCTGCCCCTCCCCTGCTCACATTCTGTCTCCCTCTCAAAAAAAAATAAACATTAAGAAAAATTTAAAAAAAAAAAAAAACTGAATCAAAGGCAGTTTGGGGCCTAATTTCCCAAGTGCCTTCTTTCTTACTCCAAACAAATGCTAATTTATACTATGCTTAATGACTCCTGTGAAAAATAAAGTATATACCATGGAATATAAGTAAAATAAGTTGCATATCAATATCTTCCATCTTTTTATCCACACAGGTTTTATAACAGTCATCTTGTTGTTTTAAAAAAAAGAAGTTTACCTGTCTGGGTACATTACAACTGGAAGGTGGAGGAATAATTCCTAATTGATGAAAAATATTTAGTCCAAATGTATAAACACATCCATCTTCAGTCAGTACAACAGTATGATCCTTTGCAGCTGCCACCTGGGAACAATTATGACCACTCAGTCCTTCCACAAGCCTAGGGATCTACAAAATAAAATTAGCTTAGTATAATATATTAGTCATTTATACAAAAATGCAAATAGAATCTGGTGATACTGTATCCAAAATGACAACACTGATAAATGGCTGTATCTATCACAGGTAAACCCTACAATTCAGCAAGGGACAGGTGAGTTTAATAGGATATGGACATTGGCTTATGAGTAAAATACAAAATCCCAGCAAGACATTTCAATAAAATAATTCAGTCCAACAAATGATTTTTGAGCCCTTATCATACACCCAGTGCAAATTTGTTTGGTATAAATAAAGGCAGCTCTTCAGCCAAAGTATTCAAGTACGGAAAAAATAAATAAAAATACAGGAAAATACAGGTGTAAGGAGTAAATGAGTTTTTAAGTATAAAAAAAAACAGTCTCTGACACAACATAAATGAGATGATAATGCCTATAATCTCACAGGACTGCTGTGAGGCTTAAGTTAAGGTAATAATACTGCATGAAAAGTATGACTGATGCCTAGAACATATAAACCCTCAAAAAATGGAAGCCGTTGTCATACCTCTCTATTCTTTGTAAAGCACCCTGTAATAGATGACAAATATACCAGTAATCCCTTCAAAAAAAGTTACCTTAAAAATACCTACTGAGGCAATTCTATTGAATGTAATGATTAGCAAGTTTCTTCTAATTAGCACTAAGTTTTAGTAGCTTGAGAGTCAATTTTGTGATTATACAATGAGAATAAGGGCTCAACTTTTAGACCACAAATACTCTGATGAGAAGTTAAAAAAAAAACAACAAATCCAACTACTTTAAGAAAAGCATTTTACAATTAGTCTGGCTTTTAAAATCTCAACTATGGAATTATTTTAAAGCTTATTTATACACTCTCGTCTAAGTATTTGCTATAAGCAAAATATAATTTTTCTATGATGCTTTAGAATTGTGCATATCAAAATCCTATAATTTGAACATGACATATACCAGGAAACTGATTTTTTTAACTATATTATCAATTGGTATATAACTCTCTGCTTATAGTAGGTTAAAAATAATGTTTTTTTTTTAGTTAACAGAAGCTTCCAGTTTATGGAAATTTTACTGAAGTTACCTAAAATGAGTAATGACATTTCAATTACCAAGCATGTCTGTTCATCTCCATGGCCTAAACGTCCTCCAGGACCATGACCACAGGTATAAACCTGCCCTTTCTGAGACAGAAATACTGAGTGAAATTTACAAAGCACCACCTAAGAGAAAACAAGAAAATATTATTATATTTCTCTGAATAAAATAGGTTTATTTTATATAAAAACACAAACTACAGAATATTGCTAACTTTACGCTGGATGATAGGTATGTGTGGATTTATTGTAACTTTTTTCTACTTTGTACATGTTCTGTAATAAAAATTAAAAATATATATGCTTTATTTTAAAACTATCCCTAAAAACACTGATAAATAGGAAAAAAGAACAAAGAAATTAAGCATATGTTTCCCACAGAAGAGACTAAACAAAGGGAAATATAAATATCAAGTGTTCAACCACAAAAAGCAGTAGCCAGCTGTTTCCCAGATTTATAAAATCCCAAACAAGAACTGGGCAATGCAACATGAAACACAAAGATTAACAACTAGCAATATATGTTATTAAAGCAAACAGTGAAAATGCCTTAAGCATATTTTTTAAAAAACATCCTATGTTAGACTGGTGGTTAGTATGTCCTTTTAGTATCTCTGACTTTGTCTAAAATGTCTTTAATATCACTACATGGATTTAAATAATTTTATATTTATTTTCAAGTTTTACTCTTACTCTTTTCCCCACTTCCTTTTTTACCTGCCATGTTTCCAACATCCCCCTTACCTTCTTGGTCCACACACTTATATACTCACAAACTCTTACCAGAAGATAAGGGTACTTAAATGACTGAACTTCATCAAAAGGCAATTAACAGGAAACCAAAAGCAGTTGTAAATACAGGCATATCTTGGAAATATTGTGGGTTTGGCTCCAGATCACCACAATAGGGAGAATTTCTCAGCAATGTGAGTTAAATTAATTTTTGGTTTCTAAGAGTACATAAAGTTATGTTTACACTATACTATAGTCTGTTAAGTATGTAATAGCATTGTGGCTAAAAAAAGAATAATGTATATACCTTAATTTAAGAATACGGGGGCCCCTGGGTGGCTCAGTTGGTTAAGCGACCGACTTCGGCT